TTTCCCTAGGCTAACCAAAATGGCTGTCATTAAAAACCATTCACTACCTCACTCCCTATCTCACATCAGAGTTGCATCCCTAACCAACCACCACTAAACTCACAATTCCAAGATGATATCTTTAATAACTGTTCTGGGAATCACTCACCTTTTGTGGATTCAGGACTTTAATGACCTGTGTGATGGTCCCCGAGTTAAATGCAGGGATGACACTGCTGCTGGGAGACAGGAGCTGCAGCTGGAATGTCTGAAGGGCAAACAGAAAATAATTTGATGCTTAATCAAGTAAGAACATAAAATTATTTGTTTACACTGAGAGAAAGCAAGGAAAATTAAGTGTTCAGTTCCTGGCCCCAAATAATCAGTTCTTCAATTCCTTACCTGTAAAGAACAAAATATTCACTGGCCCAGCTGCATTTTACACAAGTAAGGTCTAGGCAGCACCAACACTAGGAGGTGAGTGCCTACTGCAGTGTACCAAGATCAGCAGTGATGCATTGTTTCACGTGTTGCATGCAGAGGAACAGTCAAGACTGCTCAGCACACCTGTAACTTCAGGAGGCCCATTCTTTCCCTAATTCCTTTCTATAGCAGGTATGAAACCTATCTGAATCAGTTAGAGCACTACTAATTCCTAGAAGAGAAACTCCCAGAAGTGAATCTATTTTCCCAAACTTGAAGAATATTCCAATCACACCCTGCTTAAATGGTCTGCTCCACTAGAAACTAGTCAATATCTGTCTCCCATATTTTGTACTGCAGCTAAGTGCAAGGGGAGACAATTCACTGCTCAGAGGAGGACTGTCACTAATCATCATGACTCGGTGAAGCCAATAGCTTCAAAAGATATTTCCCATTTATTCATAGTTGCAAAAGACATGGTACATTTATTAGGAACTAAGATTAAAGGGAAAGATCAGTGTCTTTGCTTTTTTTTTCTGACCCAACATTTTTCTGCGTGTGGTTTAGCAACTCTCCTAGAAAGTGGCAATTTTAAAACAAGATTTTGTACAAGCAGAAGTAGTCCAATCTGATAGGAACCGGTGTTCTATTGCATTTATGACATTTACTTTCAGACTAGAAAGAGATGACCAAACTGAGCACTAAGAGAACCTATGAACAGCTCTTAGCCTTGTTTAATGCTGCAAGTTTCTGTCTACATGAAAGTACCGATCAGGAAATATTTGCTGCTGGCCCTCAACCTATCACTGTAGCTACCCTAAGGGCTTTACCTTTGGTACTGCAGCTTGGAAAACAAAATCTGTCATATCCAGCTCTGTGCTGTTGGAGGCCTGTATCGTGATTACAGTGACGCTAGGGTTGGTATTTGACCTCTCAAAGGTGAAGTCAATCTTCAGCCCATTCTTGTTGTATGCAGTAATTGAGGGGATTCCTGTAGAAAACAGAAGACCAGCAGACCTATAGAATCTGGAGATCATTCTCAACATCATAAAACACCATTTACTTTATCCCAGACGTGAACTCTTCTGAAGATAAGTGAACACACTCCCTCCTCCTGCTCCAATATCTGTGTCACACTTCACTTCCAAATCACCCCCCCCTCTTATTTTTTTTTTTAATACCCCTTTTTTCCTCTTCTAATTGGGTGCTGTGGAACCTTCGGCTAAGGATTTACACGTCCCTAACCTGCAGCAATATCATTGAAGAGAGGCTGTGATGAAAGTCCATCAAG